GCCCCCCTCTTCTTCTTGTTCAGTCCCTTCCCCCTTCGTCCTGACCCTCCCCCTCCGGCCTCTTCTCCTGTCTTCTTCTTTAGATCCCCTTCCTTCCCCTTTTTTTTCATCTTTCTTCATCCCTTCTTTCGTTAGATTTTCTCCTTGGTGTGTATTTCTTCTTCCATCATGTCATCTTTCCCTTCTCTATGACTCCTCCATTTTTTCCGGTGGTTTTAGTTTTCAAATTTTTTCACAGTCCTTCCAAATTGGGGTAGAAGAATAAGTCAAAATTCAAAAGACTTAATTCTCTGTTCATGTATTTTTCATGGATAGATAATTTTCTATAAAAAAAGAGTGAAGAAAGTAGTGGTACTCGTGGTGGAGGAGTCATGGCATGCGGGTTATTCTTTTAAGAAGGTTGAGTGGGTGGGTTTGAAGAAGGGAGGAGGGGTTTTCTTTAATTTTAAATTTTTGATTTTTTTTATTTTTTGTTTATGAATTAAAATTTTGTTAAATAATATTATTTTGGCATAGAATCTGATGTGGATGTTGATTTGTCATTCACGTCAAGCAAGTGAGCATCACACGATTCCAGAGGTGTTTAAAAGTCTTGTTTTGATTAAGTTGAAGTGTTTGGATGAAACTTTATGAAGTGTAGGGACCGGGATGACAAACCGGAACAAGTACAAGTGTCTCCTAAGCTATTCTGCCTTTTTTGTATGAATGGACTTTAGAAGAGGGTATTATTGGAAGTTGCCAAAAGCAAAGACGGGGAAGCTTTTCAAGAATACAAGAGGATTAAGAAGAAAGCTCTAGACTACTTGTAACAAAAGCTAGAGACAAGAGAAAGGGAGAAATAAATGTTTAAACTAGTGTGATTAAGAGAGAAGAGGGGTAAGGATTCAAATTAAATGAAGTGTATTAAAACTGATTCTCAATAAGTGTTGACAGGAGATAACGATATCAAGGAGAGAAGAAGAGGTTATTTTGATCAATTGTTTAACTCGAACCAAGAGGATAGCATTATAGACCTCCAGGCGCATGTGTCTGATAAAAAAAATTTAGTTATACACATAGAATTAGGCCGATATAGGTAAAAAGAAAATGCCATAAAAATATCAAGGTTAGAAAAGCTTGTGGTCGAGATAGTATCCCTATAGAGGTCTGGAAGTGTCTTTGGACGGTTGGAGTGGTATAGCTCACCAAGCTATTTAATGATATATTAAGAGGTGATAGGATTCCTGGAGAATGGATGAAGAGTACCATGATTCTGATCTATTAAAACAAAGGACATATTAAAGTTATGCGAAAGAAAAAAGGACATATTAAAGTTATGCGAAAGAAAAAAGGACATATTAAAGTTATGCGAACTATCATGGAATTAAACTCATGAGTCATACAATGAGACTTTGGAAAAGAATGATAGACCATAAACTTAGGAACACGATAAGAATGACAGAGAGCATGTTTGGATTTATGCCCAGTAGATCTACAATTGAGCCTATATTCTTGCTAAGAAGTTTGATGAAAATTTAATGCGAAAAAAAGAAGATCTACATATGGGATTCATTGACCTAGAGAAAGCATATGATAGAGTACCACAGAAGGTCCTTTAGTTTGGCAGGTGATGGAGAAGAAAGTAATTCATATTAAAAATCTAAATATCATCAAGGACATGTAAGAAATGGTTGTCGCTAGTGTAAAAATAGTAGAAGGAGATACAAAAGAGTTTCTCACAGTAGTGGATTTATACTAGAGTTCTACATTGAGCCCTACTTATTTACCCTAGTTATGGATAAGCTTACCAACGCAATACAAGATAAGATCTTAATGTGTATGTTATTTGCTGATAATATTAAGCTACTAGTAAGGGTGTCAATCAAAAGCTTGAGCTATGGAGAAACACCTTAGAGAGTAAAAGTTTTGAGATAAGTAGAAGTAAGACTGAGTACATCCATTACAAGTTTATTCAGTATGAAAAGAGCGAAATTGAGGTAAGACCAGATGAAATTGCGGTGCCAAAATACAAATGATTTAGCTATCTAGACTTGTTGTTTCAAGAGAATGGAATGACAGATAAATGTGTTACTCGTAGGATTGGAATTGGATGGTTGAAATGGAGAAATGCTACTCGGTGCTACGTGATATAAGTATGTCTACCAAGTTGAATGATAAGTTCTATAGAACAACTATAAGACCGAATGTTGGGCTGCTAAAGTTTAACATATCCACAAAATGAGCGTAGCAGAAATACGAATGCTAAGATGGATGTGCGGTCACATAATATTAGATAAAATTAAAAATAAATGCATGCGCGTGAATGTACAAGTAGCACACATTGAAGATAAATGAGAGAAGACAGTTTGAGATGGTTTGGTCATGTTATACATGGACTTACAAATGCACTGATCCCTAGGTTTGAAACTACGATGGGGGAAGCTGTTAAAAAAGGATGAGGTATACCTAAAATTACATGAAAGGAGTTATTTTGAAAGACCTAAAAATCCTTAGAATCAATGCATACTTAGCTAAAAATAAGGCACAACAAAAGAGGAAAATCTATATAGGTGATACCTACTAGTTGGGAATATGTTTTAGATTTGGTAAAGAACTTCCATCATTATATAATGGTAAAAAAAGATATATATATATATATATATATATATATATATATATATATATATATATAT